GGAGAGATTGAGGGGGGTTTCAAAGGCTCAGCCTGTGAGATCAAGGATCACTTATCAGGTCTACAAGCTGTGGTCAAAACTTCACACCTCTCAACTGCTATCCTCTCTGATAATCATCATAATTATGATAATGACATGCATCAGTCTTACTTCCAATGACCACCAGTGCTGGCATTTCATAGGACCACTGTTTTGGCCTGTTAAAAGCAGACTAAACCTTTGAACATCTCCTTTGCTTCCACCCTTAACCCCACGCCATCGGTGCAACAGGCACAGTCAACCACTGCTACACTTCTTTGTCATGTAACAAAAATTTGAGGAACTCTTTCTTTCAGTTGGCTGTACAATCAGGGCGGCAGGCATTGTGATTGGTCAAACTAATTTCACACCTCTGGCTTCTGACTACCCAGGAAAGTTTCCCTGGTTGCTAGTCTCTCAAACACTTTCACTGGCACTTATGAGATTTCACACCCACACCACCCTGACCATCTGTATTGCTCAGGGCTCACATAGATGGGGTAACATCTACCCACAAATTGCACCCCTACTCACATTCCTCACCTGGTGGCATGTCGTTAAGTTTATAGTAGGTGGAACCAAATTTGTGAGCTTTGTTTAAAATCAGGGCTGAGCAGGCAAGGCATTTTCCGTCTTAGACAGGTAAAACCCTCAGAAGGGAGCATATTTTTCTTTCCGTTTCCGCGTGGGACAGGTTTCCCTTTTATACAGGTAATTATAGAGGAATATATCAAGGGGAGAGCGGGATGATTCCATTAAGGCAGGTTTCCGTTTTACACAGGTCTCTGTTAAGGCAGGTTTGACTGTATATATAGCATGTAGAGCTCCAGTTTTATGGGTACGTCACTATCTACATATGTAAATTAGTAAATTATCTACTTTATTATTGTGTGAATGCAATGACCACTCCTTAAACTGTCATTGAGAAAAAGGAAACGCTCAATATTCATATTAACGTGTAATCTAATTATATAAAATCTTAGAACAGGCACCATAACATCTCAATTGGTGAGGAGTTATAATGCCATCAAAAGCAGAGAACTTCAGTTGTTGTTATCATTGTTATTTATATAAGTCCAGCCTGGTTTGGCATTTTTATGTGCAATGATTTGCATGTTGAAATTTGTTCACAGTAAATGACATTTGTCAATTTTGAACCCTCAAGTGAAGTTTGTTTTCTGTGGCCCCTATTGTTTGTTTAAATACAAGATGGATGTGGAGCCTCCGGTGTCAGTTGCTCCTTTTTTTTTTTGTCGTCTTTGGTGTGTGTATGGGGGGGGGGGGGTGGGGGGGGGGGGGGTTTGTAGAGATGTAGAGAGAAGCAAAAAATGGACCAAACACACTTGTATAGTATGTGTTTCATGGCTTCTTGAAAGAGAGAAAGCTCTAATTTAACATCTTTGTAGGATGAACAGGCTAAAATGACCTTGAAATGTTTGTAGCAGCTCACTATTTGATAGGCCTACAAGCTGAGCAAACTGCTAAACCCCTTTCTGTGTCAGGTAAAGACTCTCTGGACTGCATCACTGACAGAGTCACTTGGTGAAAAATACTCTCTGTCAATAACTAATCAAAAGTGTCAAGTAGGCGTGCAACCTTAATTCATGTCAAATTAAACATTCTCTCTATTAAAAACAAACCAAATCTGTATTTAATTTTAAGAAGCAACAAAAAACCCCAAATACTTCGTGTCAATAAAATGCTCACTCTGTGTCAATAACAAAATCACTCACTCTGTACTCAGTGTCAATTGTTGAAGGAAAACAAAGACTAAGCAGAAAATGTGCTTTCCAGTGCAGACGAGTTCTCGCTGCGTCAGTTGACATAGAGCTACTCTGTGTCAGTTGACACTGCCAAAATGATTTACCAATCATGCAGCTCAAACAATTGTAACAGAGTCCAACTTACACCACACATGAATCATTATCTATGTGCTCCAAGTGACCTGAAGGCAGGCAATATTTTCAGTAATTTGGGGCACTAGAGTAAAACTTTGTTTGTCTCGATACACTTAACATGATGAAGAAGGTAAGGGGTAAAATTAAAATGCTACCACACAATTTTTTACATTCAAATACCTCTATCAAACTACAAACCGGTTGAAATGTTAACTTATGAAAAACCTTTTAATGAATTGCTCTTTAAATCTTTTGCATTATTTTTGTTTGTGTATGGTCGTTATATTTCAATAGATTTCTGATTTAATTTATTTCATACTTTGAAATTTGATCTCCATATTTTATATAAACTGGCAATTTCGAAAGGCACTTGCCTATGACTTTATACTGTATTTTATAACCCTTTACATCTTCTGTCAAACATACAAACTCTTAAAAACTGTTGGAGTTGTAGGTCTTGAACCCGTGAGTAGGGAAATCATATTCATTAGACATATTAAGCTTGATTTGCATTCATTTTATTACCTCTTTGACAGGGCTTCCCCAAAGAACAGTTGAAGTTCCTGGTCTAAAAATTGCTGTTGTTGGTATGTATTTCTAAAAACAAGTGTTATTGATTTCTTCATAATGTTAAATTGGGCTTAATTATGTTTTAGGATTCTTTATCGTCTATAAATGACATACATTGGCTGTAGAACCTTTCTCTATGTGTTATTACTTTCATGAGACCTTACTTTTTTCCAAGCTTAATCAGTTCTGAGAAAGTAAAAGCATTTATTGATATGAGAGTTGTTATTGTTAAGACTTATTTCCCTTTAGATAACAAATACACATTTTCAGGTTAATAAGTTTACATAGAGGTACTCACAAATAAACTTTGCCTTTTTCTTTTTTCACCTGTAAGTAGGTATGTACGTATTTCTCGGTTTTCGCTTCATGAAAATTTTCCCTTTTTTTATGCAAAGCTCAGAGACTTTGTTTTTGGTCATTAGACAACTTTTTGATTGAGTTTTCCTTTGGCTGTCCACAGGAGACCCAGGAGTTGGCAAAAGTAGCGTTCTGGCAAGATATGTTCAGAACCAGTTCTCTCCCATCTATATTCCAACTCGAAAGGTTGCTATAGGTGTGTAGTATTGTCTGATGTAAACTTAACTGTTTTTTATATTTGAATGTAAAGTGTGTATAGTATGCTGATTATGTAGACTATCATGTCTGTCTGGACATTTTGCTTGTAAAGTGACACCGTTGCTTTTGGTAGTATTTACAGAAAAAGGGAATTTTGAAAGGATGTCATAAGATCTGAATTTTATTTTTAAAAACTGTTCAGCTATCTCGTCGATTCCCAGTCTTCACACGTAGCCTATAGAACATATAACCGCAATAATAGGATTTCTCGTGAAGCTGCAGACTAGTTCTTGAAGTGAAGATTTCATACTTAAGTTTGTACATCCCAAGTCATCTGGTGGTTTGCAACTACAAAATAATTATCCTTGTCACTTTTGGTCTCCTCTGATGTGTTCTGCAGAAAATCTTGTGAGGAAACTGAATGTACCCAGCCATGCTACAGTGCCCATCTCTTTGTGGGACATTCCTGGGAAGGAAGATCTTCCCTTACACAAGAGCTATTTCCGCAACCTGGATGCCGTGATTGGTGAGAGGGATTAGTCTCGATCTTATATGTTGCATAATAGGCCTACTATTTGACTGGGACTATAATATCAAATAGTTGCTAAGAGGATGTGATGGTTGTTGTATATTCTCTGCTATTTCCAGAGTGCCTCGATAGTCGAAGCAGACTTTGTGCTGTTGAGGCAAGAGAGGTGAGCAGAGTAAGTCTGATTACTCATTTGGATTTCTCTGTTGACATCCACCCCTTGGTGCTCAAATGACCTTATGTAGTTGCGAGTGCCGTAAAACCTTACTAAAACAAACAATCAGAAAATTTGTTATGGGCTTACCAGATATAAGAATGCCCAGATATAAAGAAGTAGCATTTACTTTTGTGTAAAAAAGAATCTTAGGTGTGCCAATTTTCTCAAAGCTTCTAGAAACATACTGTGTTTGAGGTACTTTGTCTCCTTAAGTGAAACTTCAAGCGTCTTGTCCTTTCGTCTGGTCTTTTTTTCCTTTTATCTCCAACAGTTCTGTCCCTTTCCCAATATCATAACTAAATATGATCTGGGAATCCTACCATATCAAAGGAACATTCCAAAAACTCCGTGACCTGAAGCCTGCTCTGAGACAGTGGCTGTTTAAAGTTGTTATCATTTTGTGCACACTTCACTATTTAGTTGCGTTGTCATCTTTGACATTTTCATAGAAGGCACGACAAGGGGTTCCACTTACATTTAGTCAGGCATAATCTTTCAAACTCTGGCTTTCGCAAAAAAACCCCCAACAAAACGATGAAAGGTGGAGGCACCTGACGAGGCTTTCTGTCATACAGTGCCCCCACGTACGGTCCTCGTGGATTATGGGATCAGTGAAGGTGGCAGTGAATCTTTTAATTCTGTGAATGTTTGGCTTGGGACAAAATGTAGGGTCATGACTTCACAGTTCATGTTTGGGTAAAAATTGCTGAACTCCCTTTGCAGTAAGATGACATTGTAGCGAAAAAGCTGACTTATTTGTATGATCTGTACAAGAGAGATTACCACCACTTGAGGGCACAAGTTGTTCTCTCTGGCTTGCAACAGGAGATTGTTTTTCCGTGTGTGTCCTTTTTGTCTGAAGCAAAGAAGTGGTAGTCTATGCAATCACTACATTTGTAATGTTTGCATAAATTAGTCCGTTTTTTTAGTCTGAGAGAAATGCTGATAAAATTAAGGAAAAACATATTGCGAATATTATTATGCACTCTGATTTAATTTTATTCAATTTCTCCCTCTTTCTCTCCTCCCTCCCATTCCTTTTCATATTCTCCTTTCCTTTCATTCAAGCTCTTTCAAGTGCATTATATTATTTTATGAATTGATATCAAATGGTCGAGGACTGAAAATTAATTTTAAAAATAACTGTTTTATTGCTCTTTCAGTGACTGTGGATCTCAGTGATGTGTCCAGTATTGAATCTGGAAAGATTTGGAGAGATGTAGTCATAAGCTCTGCAACCTTTACGCAAGATGGTGAACCGAGAAACGTTGAGGAGGACAAAGATAATAAAGATGATTCTGAGATGACGAATAATGATGTGATGAAAAGTCCAGACAAAATTCCTTTTCTCCTGCTGGGAAATAAACGTGACTTGGTTAGTAATGTCATCTCTTAGGTAGTATCATATTGCTTTTGATATTGATCATTGGTGGCTTTTTTAAATGTTTCTCTTGGGTTAAGTGTCAATGTTAGAGTGAAATGCGCAGCAGGACTTTGTGTTCCGGTCTCCACTTCATTGTATGAACATCTGGGAGTATTGAAGCTTAGTGGTAAGGTTTTTGATTAATTATTTTAGAGTTGTTTTTATTTTATTTTTTCTTAGGGGGGTCGCAGACGTCATATTT